GAGAGAGAGAGAGAGAGAGAGAGAGAGAGAGAGAGAGAGAGAGAGAGAGAGAGAGAGAGTGTCCCCATGCTCAGGGTCAAGAAACCAGCTTAGAGCTGGAAATAGACACGGAAGGTGACTTCAGAGGAGTTATATCCCCTTCCTTCTTGCTTACATGTTATTCAATTCCCTAAATGTTTTCTCTCATTTGATAACTTATTAAGTTAAGCAACGCAAAATTGCTGACTGGATTCTAAGAACAAGGCCACATCCTGGTTGATCCCTCCTTTCCTCCTACATGAGTTGGGTTGGGAAGGTAGTTACAAAGGGTCCAGGTCACTTGAAGTGTGAGCAAACCACCCTGTCTGTGTGCCTAGTACCTTAAGGAAGTGTTACCACCAATCTAAGGCATGGTACCAATCTTATGGTTTGGCCCAGATTCGCTGCCCACCTCTCTATACTCCTCCGTCCATCAAGTTCTTGGGTTTCCAATATCTGAGACTTCCAGATCCTCCAAGGAGAGAACTGGCACTCAAACTAACACCCTACTTTCCCCGGCCCCCTCCCCAAAGAGAAGCATCCTTTAGCTCCCCAGGGCACATATACATTATCATACAAGACCTAGGACATACCCAAGTCCCTTGGAAATCCAATCTTCCTCTGCAACCCACCTCCATCCCCTCTCCCACAAAACCCCAAGCTGCCTAGCTGCTAATTTTGGTTGTTCTTTAAGTCAGTCCCTTTTGAGTGTCTGGTATGGATCAGGCAAGAGATGAGGTTGCAGGCCAATGAAGCTGTGTACAGGGATTTGTGTGAGACGGTTTGCTAATCATAGCTGAACTGAAGTACACGGAAGCAAGGTCCATTAAAAGGCAGCAGATTGATTATTGTTTTGACTCATTATACTAGGATACGGTACTAATGCCTACCAAGCCTGTTGAAGATAAAACTAAATCCTATTACTGTGTTTAACATTATCAGAACACACTGAACCTTCTGAATCCATTAATTCTCTCCCCTAGATTCCACAGAAGTTGGAGACTTGCACACCAAAATTTGTCATTGTTGACATTTTTTTTTGGCTTTAAAGACCCATATGAAATTTACTGAAAGGCCAACAAACGTGCAGTCAATGCACACATGGTGGCAGGTTTGTTGCGAAGAGTCAGGATTTTAACCATGTTTCCAATCGATCATCACTCTTCTGGTTTGTGGGTGAACCACATGATTGGGAACCAGGACTTTTCCTCGCTGGTTTCATTGTCAGTTTCTCCCCAACCTGTGAGTCTCAGAAAGTTCTGAATGGACTATGCCAAGCATCAGAAATCAAAACACCAGGGTCTGTACCATTCCAGTGGCAAAGAAAGAAAGAAAAGAAAGAAAAGCATCCTCTGCAGAAAGCTTGGATTCTGATGCCTCGGTTACATGCTATCAACGTATTTCTAACTCCTTTGTTGCCAAATAGCTCCATTTCTTAAAAAAAAAAAAAAAAAAATTCCAAGTGACCAATTTCTGGGTCCAGGCTGTGCTGCTGTGTTATTGTCAAAAGATTCTTTGGCATCCACAAAATTATTCAACTGATTCATTTGACATTTGCAAGGTTCTTGTTTGAAAAGTTCTGGTTTTGCCAGTTGAAGAAGTGTCCCAGGTGTAATTCTTAAAAATAAAAAATTAAAACAAAAAAGTTTCACTGAATTTTGTTGTTGTTTTTGTTCCCTGAGCTGTCAATCACCCTGGGGTCACTCCAACCAAATACATTAGCGCAAATCAACTGTGACCTTGGAAGCCAGAACTTAAAGGATGGGGTGGGTTAAGTGCAAACACAGAAACTTGCCTGACTCATAGGTATCATCGTGGGTTTTTAAAAAACTTTTAAGGCTTAGAAGGGGCATTTCTATGCATGAAAATCTTGTAGGTTTTAGAATACTGACTTCAATGAATCAACCCTCCCCTTTCTATTTCCCCAAGGAGTTCGTAGGCTTGTAGGTAGGAGCATTTTTCCAAAAGAAACTGAAGGAAGAAACTTGTAGTCTTAGTGAGACTAGAAACTGCTCCAAGGCCAACGATCTGACTTGCTTTCCAATACGCAGGACAGGGACTACAAGGAGACTTTAGTTGTCACCTGTTCCAGGAAGGAGACTTTGCTTTTACAGTTAACGCATTCAAGTTTTAAATGTTTATTCTTTTCCTGTTTTGCAAAGTGAATGCCTTGACCTTTTCCCCCAGCCCCCTCCCTGGTCCCATTTTGGCTAATGGATTCACCTGAGTAAATGTCTCTTGAAGCCAAGGGCTGGGAGCCCTGCCTGTGGGATGTTTTTTCCCTCTGGTTAATTCCTATGGCCACTCAGGCACAGTGCTGGGAAGAAAGGGGTGGCTGGCCGAAGGGTCGGCCCTCAGCCTTGGCATGGAAGCAGATCGAACTGGAAAAGGTGAGAGCAACAAATTGACAAGGCTTCTGTTAAAGGAGTGTTCTCCCCCACCCTTAAGTGCTTTCTTCAAATAAGCTCTTTGTGCTTTAAAAAAGTTAGTTCTGTATTAGGTTTCGCTTATTCTACTTCCTTGGGTGTTGGGGGGTGTTGCCTTGCTGTGGAGAGGGGTTCAGCTATACCCCTGGAACCTGACTCCTGACCCAGCCTTTGGACTGGGTGCTGAACCCTGGGCAAAGCAGGAAATGAGTTTACTTGTCTTTGCCTTGAAATAATGCCCATAAGACTGTCATCCCTGCAGAAACAATGGGTACTGGCAATATCAGACCTCTTGTATTGATGCCTTGGGTGACCCCCAATGGGGCCAGAACCTCCAGTCCCTGAATGCCCGTGTCTGGCATTTTGCTTCACTGGGTTAAATTATTGAAGTTAAATTATTAAAAGGGACAACTCTTGTCACCCAGGTCAGGGGAGTGGAAGCTTTTATGTCCTATGTCCAGCATACAAAGGAGAGAAAGACAACGGTGCTTAATTTTAAACTATATATATATAAAACAAATGGAAAACTCCCACCCCACCAAGAATGGAACCCCTTTGTTATATGATACCAGGCAGAAATTGAAAATGGCAGTTGTAACTGGGTTTAGGCCTCTTAAGAACTGTCACAGTTGGTTATCTGGTTGAGTTAGGATGCCAAAACGCTCATTCTGACTACCTCCTCGTTTCCTGAATCCTTCTGGCTTAGCTGAACCCTGCCACTCCCTGGTTCTGAGTCAGAGTCGCTCATTTCTGCGTCGGAGAAGTAGCCATCGGTCTCATTGTCAAAGTGCAAGGTGACCTTTGGCCTTTCCCCTGATGGAGGTCTGTTCATCGCCTCAGGCTTTGGATTCGGCAGCTTCTTAGTCTCTCTGCCCTCCTTTGGCAATCTAAACCTCACTACTGTTTTTGGACTCCCCAACGAGCCAGGCACTTGAAGTGGGCTGTTAGTCTCAAGCGGGGTTGCGTCTACAGTCTCCTTGTCCTCGTGTGGGGAGCTCCGTGAGCCCGCTAGGACACTGGAGTCATGGGCTTTGGGGCTGGGAGAGTGGTTAGAAGGCCCCCTTTTTGGAGTCTTCCGGACCTCCCCACTGGCTCCTTTACGATCTGTAGGTATCCTGGTCGCCCCACGAGTGGCCTTGCTATTCCCCGAGTCATGGTTCAAGGGTTTCACGGTGTGGTCTGGTGGGGTAGTCCGCTGGCCAGAGTCCTCTGGGTGGTCTGAGAGCAGGGAGCCAAGGCTGTCCCGAGGGACCTTCTTCTTATTTGCTGGCCTTGCTTTGCTCTGGGCCTTCTTGGTGGTGTCGCTGTGCTTGAAGGGAGACTTTAGGGAATGGTCCATCATGATACTCAATAAGGTCTCTTCATCCTGGAGCAGCTCCTCAGAGAGGAGCCCAGATGTGTTGTCCTCATGGTGCCCATTGTTCAGGGACCACTCACTCATGGCCATGTTCTCTGTAGTGATCTGCACCGACTGGGCCAACCAGCTGTTGAAGAAGGTCCCATCGATGGGGAAAGAGGTGGACAAGCCTACATGGGGAGAAAGAGAAAAGGGAAGTAAGACTTGAGTAGTGACAAGTGTTGGGGAGCACAAAGCTAGGCTTGTTATATTCAGTGTGACAGGAACTGGGGGCCCCCTTTAAGAAAAACCTCCTTTGGGTGCTCATCTATCGGGGAAATGGTTGAACAAGTTAGGATCTATGAATCACTCCACTTTAATCTGCTGCTCCACCTGTTCCAACTCCACTGAGCACGATGGCCTCATACCAGGTACTCACTGCTGTCTCCCTTCCCATCTCCCACCCCCCACCCCCACTCCCCTACCCCTTTCCTGCCTCCTTTTGTGGGTTGTCTCCCCCTTTAGCTTGTAAGCTGCTTGAAGGGACTGCCTTTTCATTAATTGTATCCCCAGTGCTTAGCACAGTGTCTGGGATGTAACAGCCACTTAATAATGTTTACTGGATTGGAACTGATTATGTGAACAAATATTATTGTATTTTAAGATATGATAGAGATGGTTTCAGAGAAACCTGGAAAAGATGGTATGAACTGACAGAGTGAAGTGAGCAGAACCAGGAGAATAGTTTATACAATAACAACAATGTTGTAAAGACAAACAATGTTGATTGGGAACTCCAATCAATGCAATGACCAGCCATAGTTTCAGAGGACTCATGACGAAACATGTTACCTACGTCCTGACAGAGAGATAATGAACTTAGAGTGCAGTTTGAGACATATATGTGTGTATATATATATAAATGTATACACATAAACACACACATATAAATACTTATATGATCTTACTTTTCTTTCTCAAATGAGGCAGGGGAAAGGAAAGGAGAATTTTCTTTGAAAACAAATAAAATGTAATTAAAGAAAAAAAAAAAGAAAATCCTTCTTTCAAGGCTTAGTTTGTGTCTCACCTCCTTCTTTCTTATCTATCCCCGGCCATGTTCACATCCCTTTATATATTATCTGTACAACGAGGTAGCGGGGTACGGAAAGACTTGGAATAAGGAAACTTGGTTTGAATCCTTGGCTCTCACATTTACTAAACTATTTAACTCTGGGTTAGTCACTAAACTCTCCCAGACTCGGTTTCCTTACCTACAAAATGGCAACAATAATAGGATTTTTTATGTTCAGAACAACAAGAAGTCTATCTTCAGGTGAGGGTGGATATAGAAGGTGGACACCTAAGTTTGACATATTGTAGCTTCCTATTGAACTCATCATTGTTGTCCACTAGGTGCTAAATCTCTGTTGGTTCTAGGCTGCTCAAGGAGTAGGAGCATCTTGTGACAAATCCCCAGATGCCACGCTCTAGTTAGAGCTCTATCCTATTACCTACACGGCTGTCGTGAGCAAAGTTCACTGCAAATATTTAAGCGTTTTAGAAAGGAGACTCACTGTTATTTGGTTCTTATACTATTTGCTATGCTCAGATATCTTTTATTGTATCTCCATTATTTCTCCAGCTAGATTATAAATTCCCTGTGGGCTGGGATTGTGACTTTTACACACACATACACACACACACACACACACACACACACACACACACACCCTACTTCATTTGCTAATGTAATGTTTAAAAATGTTAAATTATTTTGAAAGAAAAGCACATTTATTTTGTAGGAAGGTCTGTATACCTTACCTTCTATACTAAAGCTGCCCAGTACAGGTTTCCTTTCAGCCAAGGGGAAATCTTTTCAGCCTGAGCATATCTTCGGTTCTGTCTTACATAAGAGGGCATTTTAACCACAGCAGAACTCTGGTGCTCATTACCTGATACAATTCTTACAGACTTCTTATACATACCCCTAGAACAACTACATACACTAAAAGTCTCAGAGGGCACAGCTCATCTGTAAGGAATGATTAGAAGTCCTTTCTCCCATAATTGGTATCTGTTTAAGAGACCAACATTAAAGAGAAGTTCTCTTGGCCTATTACACCAGGAGGATAGACATAAAGCATTCTAAGATGTGCTTTATAGCATTAAAAGATGCAGCTCAGGTACCAGCTGCCACCGTCACTGCTGAGCTGACCTTGTTTCACTGTCTCTAGATTATTCCAGGAAGAAGAAAAAAATGGAACAATTTAAATGCAATTTCTTTTCAGCATCCTCACAAATGCACGGTTTGCTAATGTGATACCCAGAGTGACAATATAGACAAGTCTTGTCTCTCCGGGCAGTTAGGGGGATGGAGAGTCTGGGTTAGTTAAATCCACTGACATTGTACATTTTGAAAATTATACGGCCAGGGCTATTATCATTTGCTTTTGTTTTTGTATTCCCAGCATTTAGCACAATGCCTGGCATATAATAGGTGCTAAATAAATGTTTGTGGGTATACACATACAGACACACACAGAGTCCCTCCTTTTAGAATATAACCTCCTTGAGGACAGGGACTGTTTCATTCTTGTCTGCATTCTTAGCACGAGCAAGCACAGGCAAACAATAGGTGCTTAATAGATATTGATTGCTTACAGTACAAAGCAATACTGCCTTTTCTTCACTGTTCCCCTTCCCCTCTGAAGGACATCCTCACTAAGAATGCTTAGAGAGGATCCAGTCAAACCCACTCATTTTACAGATAGAGAAACTGAGGGTCTTGGGGAAAGAGTCTCGTCCAAGGTTACAGAATCCTAGGGTTTATAAGGGACTTCTGAGGCCACCTACTTTGACCTATACCAGACTGAGAACTCTCTTTATAGCTTTCCCCAAAAAACATCTTTGCTTAAAGACCTAGAGTGAACCCACCCTACCTCTTGAAACAACTGACACCCCTTTCTGAATCATAATAATTCTTAGGAATTTTTACCTTACCTCAAGCTCCTCTCAGAGTCTTTGCTACTTCTACCTACTGCTGCTAGTTTCGTCCTCTAAGTACCTCCTAACAACTCCTTGAGGGCAGGGCAATTTGGGTTTGGGCCCAGGGGACTGATTTTAGAGGGCCGAGCTTGCAGTATGAGATAGAGTTACTGTGGAGAAATAGATTCACCCTTGAAGTAAGGGACAAGTAGACAGTGACTGATCCCTGTTCCACATGGCAGCCCTTCAGATACGTGAAGACAACAATCATGTCCTCTTAAGGCTTCTCTTCTCCAGGCTAAACATCTACACTTCTTTGGCCTGATCCTCCTCTGGCATGTGCTTGAGGTCCTTCCTCATCCAGGTCCTCTTCACTTGGAAGACCGCCAGCTTATCAATTTCCTTAAAATGGAGCCCTCTCAATGGAACTCACGTACGTGGCCCAGCTAGAGTATAGTGAGACTTATCATTACACCCATTCTGGATATTATGTCTCTCTTAACGGGGCCTAAGATGTCACTCCCTTTTCTGCCTAACATATCAAGCTACCTACCTCACCTTTTTTGGAAAGTCTGTTATACTGCCATGCAGCCCCCATCTTGTCCAGGTGAAACTGATTTGTTGACCCCCAATATAAAACATCACACTTAAGCTTATTCAATTTAATCTTAATGGGATTTATTCTAACTTTCTAGTTTACTGAATGAAATCTTTCTGGATCCTGACTCTACTGAGTGAAATCTTTCTGGATCCTGACTCTACCATCCAACTGATAAAAATTTGACAAGCATGTTATCTGTGTCTTCATCAAAGCCACTGACAGAAATGTCAAATAGCCTAGGACCAAAGACACATTCCCAGGGTAATGAAACTCAAACCCAAGGCTTCAATCACAATTAATGTTCTTTTCATTACACCATACACAAAAGAGAAATAGCATAATTTGCCCCCACCCCTTTCATTTACAAATAGGGAAATGGAGGACAAGACAAGGTTTAGTTGAAAAGGGGAAGTTAGTCTTGGAATGAGAGACAGACCTAGGTTTGAATTCTGCCTTAGCCATTTACTAGTTCTGTAACAGTGGTCTAATTATTAAACCTTAAATTCTCCAGGCCTTAGTTTTTTTCATCTACAAAATATGTAATATATGAAAACTAACATAGTAAGTAATATTTGTCCTACCTCCCTCAGAAGGTTGTCACTTTGTAAAAGCACCATAGAAAGGGGACCGAGCATTAGAGTACTCCCATGCACACATGGGAGGTACTTATGTTTGCTTATTTAAAAACATTTTGTATGATCCATGAAATGTCTTTGAGTGAATGAACCCAAAGTAATGATTCTCTAATAGTGCACCTTTGGTCACTGGTGGGAAAGATACTCTTGGAGTCTGTGGGGCAGCATTGGCACTATACCACCCTTCAACATCTTGCCTATGTAGAGAAGATGCCTAGCCCCGCCCATGAGGGAATCAGGGAGAGGGAATTTATCTCGTAGGATTTTGCCTATTGACACGGCTGAGTCCAGCCCATTTGAAAAAGAAATGAAAACTTCTACTGTGTTGGAGGTTTTAAAATAATACTATTCTTCTCTCTTCAGATAGTGATGGCTGTTTCAGGGCTACTGCAGGGTAGGAGTGATGCTGTCAGAGCAGCATGCGGTCTCTGGCTATACCACACTGTAGACCCACATCAGCTCTGAGGGGAAGACCCTGGCCACAAGATGGAAGCACCAAGGTAAACACTGCCCCTTGTAGCTTCTGGCCAAATGAGATATTCTGTAGAAGGAGATCTAAATAAGAAATCTATGGATAATGGCATAGAGAACTGGGTGGGAGTACCAGTTAAGCCAGTGGCTTGCTGTGCAACTTTGGGCAAGGACCATCTCCTCTCTGGGCCTCAGTTTCCTCATCTGTAAAAACGAGTGGGTTGGCTGACTGCAAGATCTTTAAGACCCTATACCTTTTAGACAGCTACGGTTTTGGTTATAAATTCCCTCCCAGCTCTGGCAGTCTCTGTTCTCTATCATTAGTTCTCAGTTCTATGTTGTACATGGTTCTATGCTGGTTCTAACAAGCCTGTAATTCTCAGATTCTAACATCTTTTGGGTTTGGACTCTGACACCAAATTGACTGTTATCCTGGGGATGCTGCCGAGGTACTGACTGTCTACCGGCTGATGAGTGTGTCCCTCTTCAATCTTACTAGGTATAGCTCTGCACCTGACTCTGAAGAAGTCAGTGAGATACCTCCACCACCTCCCTTGAGAGTAAACCCACCTGCCCTCCCCAGGCCTCTCTGCTGACCTGACCACAAAGTCCCAACAGGACGGAGCTGGGAGTGGAGGTTGCTTTCCTGCTGAGCTTGGCTCTTTCCCCAGGATGCTGGGCCTCTGACTGGAGTCTGGGGAGAAGGGACCGTCCTTGCCATATCCCAGTCCTTCAGCTCAGACCTGGTTTTTCCCTCTCGAGCTCCCTGATGCCCTCTCACCAGCTTCATGGTACACACATGTTGTGACCTGAAGGTGCAAACATGGGAGATGGTGTGTTGGCATTCAGAGCCAGGAAAAAAATAGGCTTGGTCAAAAGAGATTGCTAATAGGATGAAAGGCCTATAGTTCAGGGAAGAGGGGGCTGATTTGGGGCTCTACTTTGGCACTGTCCCTGGACTGTGTGGAATGGGCTGGTGCCTCTGGCTCCATTCTCAGGAGCTGATTCAGAATGGAGTGACTCAGAAAAGCAGAAGACACTCACTTTCACTGCCCTTTATCTGGGATGGAATCATAGGATCACAGGAGATCCAACCTGGAAGTCAGGAGGACCTCAATTCAAGTCCTGACTCTGTGACCCTAAGGAAGTCACTTTACTTCTCAGAGTTCTGGGCCATGAAGACTTTAAGTTGTGAAGAGTTCCTTGTACCAATGAAATCAGAGCTCTAGTCCCTATCCATCAGATCAGATATACACAGCCTGAAGGGGCCTCAGAGTTATCTAGTCCAACTCTTATTTTACAGATGAGGAAACTGAGGCCCAGAGAGGGGAAGTGATTTGCCCCACGTCACACCGTCAATAATTGGTGTGACCAAGGTTCAAGTTCAGGTCCTCTGACTCCAGATTCTGTATTCTCTTTAACTGCACCATGCTCCAAGTGGGGCACCCAACCTGGATCGTACCTTACCAAATGCTGTTCTATGATGAGAAATTTAGAAAAACAAAAAATAAAGGGACAGTCAGAGAGGAGTAACTGAGGCCAATCAGTACAAAGGCAGGTACCCAAATGCACCAAACTCCTCCTGGCTGAACCTTGCCAACGTACTTTTATATCCACTTTACTGCAAAAAGTAACTGTGAGCACTGGCCTATTGCTAGGCTAGCTGGACCCTAGCTGACAGGAAGGACTCCATGTTTGAGCACTGACTGACCTGCCTATGTACTGGGAAGTTCCTAAGTCCCCAATACTGGTTTAGTCATCTACACTGAGGCAAGAAATACAGGGCTGTCCACAACATAATCAGTTTAGTAAACTTCTTCTAATCCGGGTATGGAAGGTTAACCAACTTTCCTAATCACAATGTCCTTGGGGTTGATAAAGTAGAGGGAGAGAGGAACACAGTCCAGACCACTTGCAAATGACTGCTCCAAGGTCTCCCTCTCACTTGGCCCCTGCGAATCTGCTCAGCAACAACAATCAGATATGAAGGCAGAGACCCAGGGTATCTGGGTTCTAGTTAGGGCACACATCACACAGTATGCTGGTGGGATGATAGGACTCTGGAGCCACACCCTTGCATGCTTGTAACTAACTAGACTTGTGATCTTTTAGGTATGTATGTTCCGTCTTCGCACCTGACCTACGTCTCCTCACGGTGCTGCTCTCTGGCTGCTATCTCTCTGGAATAGATGACCAGGGTAGAGACGTTCATTTCTTTCTAATTGGATGGCCTTTTGGGGTTGCCAGGCCCAAAAAACATGTATGGATGCATATGTATATGTATATGCATTTGTGTGTGTGTAAGAGAGACAAAAGGAGAGACAGAGACAGAAAGAAAGCGAGACAGAGAGGCCACATATGATGGTTTCATCACTCCAGTGTCTTCTGTAAGACTGGTGATGTCTCCCTTGCCTGAGAGAGTCTGGCTCCTGCAATGGGGCAAGGCCACTTACCGAGCTGCCCCAGGACCAACTCATTGCCTGGCTTCATTTTCTCTTTCTTTTCAGGGCTGGCCTTCCTGCTATCCCTTCCTTTCCATTTGGAGTCATTCTTCTTCCCCTTGCTTCTCTTCCCAGGTTGTTCTGTGTTGGATGGACATAGAAAGAGAGAGGGAAATAGTTACTCCAGCACAAACTTTCAAGGGGAGGGCCATGTCCATATCATACTTCCTGTGATTTGGGTGCAATGGGCAATTGGGGAATCTAAGTTTTTCAGATCATCTGACTTAAAAAATCTGTCATAATCCACTCAACCAACATGTGTGATGTGCCTACTGTGAACATAAGAGTCCTCTGCTCTGAGGGAGATGCTAAGAGTCCCCAATCGGAACCCAGTCTCTCAGGGCCCATCTGTACAGCCACTCTTTCCTTTTTGTTCCTTCCATGTATCAGACAGGGCTATTAACTTCAGAGACAGGTCTGGCCATGTGACTTAGGTCAAAGGCTCAGATAATACTTGAGAACTCTGTTTTTATCACCAGAGGAATCCCTGCCCTATGGTAACCTCAGAGAGTTGTCCCAGAAGACAAGAAGGGGTCAGCGCTACAGGCTAGCTGCTCAAAGGAGCTAAATGGGGAGGGATGGTTTCCTACTGCTTAAAAATATCCCTAAAACAAACTCAAAATTCCTATCAAACACGCCTAGTATACGTCCATAAATCTTCTCAGCAACACCAAGACATGGCTACACAGGACTCTCCCGAAAGCTGAATTTAAGCAGATTTCGCCTGAATACAGATACTGGGTCTTTTCTGGTCCAGAGGACCCTGCTTTGTACCAAAACCAACAAGCAAGTTAGCAAGCCCCCACGGGCCCAGCTCTGTGCTCCAGGGGGCGGTGAGGGGGATGGGAGGCAGGAAATTGAGATCTCTGTTTCTTAAATGCTTATATAGCCTTGTGTGAGAAACAAAGAAAAGAACAAGGGAACAAAATAAGGTGCCATCAAATCTAGCGTGATGTACTGTATGTTATACAGATAATAAAAGCCATGACAGTTTTGGCTTACATTCTAGAGAATTTACTACAGAATGAGTGAGATTTTAGATAGAGAGGGAGCTAAGGGGTGGGCATGTGCTAGGTGTGTGTGTGTGTGTGTGTGTAATAGCATGAATGAATGTAAAGAGAGTTGCACAAGTGTATTGGGGAAATGCGATGGGGAAATAATAAGAGAGAGATGAGGTGGGAGAGGAAGACTGGGACCATGGAGGGCCTGAAATGTGAGGCTGCATTTGCACTTGATAATGATGTGAAGATATTTGAGTAGGGGAATTTTATGATAAAATATATGTCATATGGACATGTCATATTATATCAGGAGCTGTGAAGTCTTCTTTTTCCTCCCTTATTTCAATATAAACCAAGAGAGTGTTCAGCTCCCTTTACCCTGAATAACAGAGGAAACAGTCAGTTACTATGAAACTTTTTATACAGTTCTCCCCATAGGCATTCCCAGGTGGAACAATCAGGGAGGAAATTAGCCAAGTTTCTGGATCTGTGGGAAGTGCTGATCCAGGTGGGAAACACACCCCTGGGTATGGGGAAAAGGGCACAGTCATCCTAACCCAAGCTGCAATCAGCGATGCCTGAAGGTGAAAGAAATAGGTCCTTTGTGAGTTTACCTGACTACTAAGAGAACTTTGAGCCAGAAGGTTGGAGACCTTCTAAGTCAGGTATTTTTAACCTGGGGTCTAAAAATTTGTTTGAAAATATTTTGATAACTGTATTTTGTAACCTTGTGTATTTTATTTTATGCATTGTGTATTATGGAGACTGAGGCTCTGGAAAAATTCTGATTCCTCTGGAAAAAGGGCTAGTGAGAGCTGGAGGGAGTTGCAGGTAGAGCAATGGAAGGAGGCTGGAGAACTGCCAGGGGCTGACCATACCTGAGGGGAGTCTTAGACAGTTCTAGGAGGATGACTATGGGATGTCTGACTCCCAAGTGATTGAGGTTATGCAGGTCTTTAGGGGGAGGGATGGCTTACTGGAAGATGTCAGTATCTTTCCTTAGTTGTTTTTTTGTTTTTTTTTTTGCTTGAGTTTTTGAACAACATGCTCGCAAGGGGAGTTTGTAGCAACATATACCAGGGGATGCCAAACAATGAAACTCCTATAAATCCCCTGGCATGGACAATCAGGCAAGCTGGTGAGAACCACCCTCCCTGCCTCCCCCCCCCCACCCCATGTCTGTGGGTTTTTTGGTGTCCCACCCCTTTCCCTCTCCAAACCTCAGTTTCTTCATCTTTAAAGTGTAAATAACGCTTGGATTATCTACAACAGAGTGGTTTTGAGGAACACATGCAAATGTTAACTATGTTAATGAGCACAAAGAAATATGAGTTATTACCACTGTTCCTATTTCATGTGTTGAAGCTCAGAATGATGTTTCAACCAGGAAAGACTATTATGCACACTTTGGTATTTTCACCAAATGCATATGCTTTCAGGAAGTACGACATTAATCAGACATTAGATAGCAACCCCTCTACCTTTTTGTTTGTCCCTGTCAAGGGATGAATTCCACCTGTCCTAAGTCCTCACAGCCTCACTGATGAGGCCTTTGTTCTGGTACTAACACAAACTGATGGCTAGTTCACACACCTGAGCTATACCTTGTCTTGGTCTTTATAGGGAAGGTTAGACATGGGATCTATGGAGAGGAGAATGGATAGAAAAATATAGAGAGGGATTTACAAACAGATATGAATTCTGTTCCAAGGAGGGATCATGTATTCTAAAGGGAACCCAGAAGGGCTTGCTAGTCTAAGGTCAGAAGCAGAATAATCTTTGATGATCTTTGGCATGTATTAAGGTGTCAGCTCTTTGAGGGTCAGAATCTCACCTTGGCTATATCTATCTTCCCCGGGACTGTGTAGCACACAGGCCTCTACAAACAGAGGGTATCTTTGCCAACTGGCCCCCCCCCAACCGAGAAAGAGGGGGGGGGGGAGAGAGAGAGGGAGAGAGAGGGGGGCAGAGAGCTAGATTAGGGTCCTGAGGTTGACTGAGGGAGAAGAAGGGTGCCTTATTTTTTTTTCCTTAGGCAGTTGTGGTTAAGTGACTTGCCCAGGTCACACAGCTATTAAGTGTCAAGTGTTTCATCTGAGGCTGGACTTGAACTTAGGTCCTCCTGACTTCAGGACCACTGGTCTATCCACTGCACCACCAAGCTGCCCCCAGGGTGCCCTCTTCTACATCCTCATTAGTCTAACTGCTTTCTTGCTAAATCTAAAACATAAAATGCTGCAAGTAGAGTCAAGTATAAATCCTACTGTCTTGCAACAGATGCTTCTGAGATATCTACGTTTACAAAGACAAACCCTACTTTCTCCAATACTAAACAGATGCTTTACTGAACTTGCTTTGAACATGACATAGAACCGTGGGGGTAGTGGACCTTTAGAGTTAGAGAACCTGGGTTTGAATTGCAACTCTGCTATTTACTAACCTGTATGACTTTAGGTATTACTTTATCACTCTGGGCCTCAGTTTCCTCATCTGTAAAATGCTAGGGTTGGACTATATGATCTCTAAGGTTCCTTTCAGCTCAAAATCTATGATCCTCTTGAGAACATCTGGAAGTTTTTTTTTTTTTCATTTGGTGGGGGGAGGGTGGTCTTGTTAAGAAAGCAATACGAGATGGAACCTGGCTCTTAGGCCTACTCTTTGGGGAATCTTTGAAGGCCCCAAAGAGGTCCTTCTGTGGAGGGTGAACCCTAGAAATAACTTAAGTTTTTACAGCTTTTGGAAGCAGACTTTCTTTGTCAGCTCTACTTAGGTTAAGGATTTTTTTTTTTTTTTTTTTGCTTTGCCAGGCCCATCTAAGAGAAAGCTGACAGACTCAGTGCTTGTTTTGATTTGTCTTTTTTTGGCTAGGCAATGGGGCTAAGTGACTTGCCCAAGGTCACACAGCTAGTAAGTGTCAAGTGTCTGAGGCCAAATTTGAACTCAGGTCCTCCTGACTCCAGGATTGGTGCTCTATCCATTGCACCACCTAGCTGCCCCCATGTCTTTTTTTTTTTTTTTTAAAAAGTATTTCAGTGACAATAACTTTTTTTAAAAAAAGATCCCTAGACCAAAAAACAAAACAAACCCCCAAACTTCCTCTGAGTACTAAAGAGAAGGTCTAAGTACAGGTCAGGTTAGCCCTGGGATCTTCTCTTTTCAGAGACCTTGGGTTGTATGACAACCTCATGAAGACCCTCCTATGAGGGATTAGAATGGACCAAGGATGGGCTACTCTTCCCCTTCTTCACCCCTAATGCTGGCCCTTTCTCTCCCCTCCCTCCTTTTCACCCAGGCTTGTTTCGGGCCTCTTCAGGTGAAGTCCCCTTTGACAAAGGGCTTCTCTCGCTGCCAGCTCTTGCCTCTGATCCAAGCATTTGGATCAGGGTGGGAGAGGATGCTCTGCAACCTCTTTAGGTGATTCCCATGGAGGGGGGACCAATATTCTCATTGAGCATCCACAGGGAATCAAAGACAACTCAAGACTTTTTTGGAAGTGAAAACTCCCTCCAGAGACTTCAACTGAATAGATATTTACTATGCTGGGTGCTGTGGGGAAGGCAAAGACAAACATTCTCGCTGGCTTCTGCTGTTGAATGCATTGGGAGGCAGAGCTATTAGAAGAAGCAGTGCCCCTCTAGACCCTTTGGTTCCTCAGGACAGCCCCACCACCATCTTTCTTCAGTCCCGGTCCCTTCTTAAACCATTAAACTAATTCCTCCACACCAGGAATTCACCCAGTTCAATGACTGCGCAGATGAAAACATGACTCTGCTTGGAGAAATGTTCATCTCCAAAAGAAGAGCAGGATGCGGGCTAGTGGGGCTGAGAATGTACTGCCCAGGCTGATGGAAGCTTGCAGGCTGTCTTGTGGGAGGATAGCTCAGGCAGGCTCGAGAGTGGAGTGAAGATCTTCCACTTAAAAAGAAAACGTAACTTTGGCCTGTTCCAAAGGGGGTAACTCGGGAGGCAAAGTAGATTACAAAAGGTGAGGAGGAAGTGAATTTCTTGGAAAGAGTGGAGATCTTCCACTTAAAAAGAAAACGTAACTTTGGCCTGTTCCAAAGGGGGTAACTCGGGAGGCAAAGTAGATTACAAAAGGTGAGGAGGAAGTGAATTTCTTGCATAGGAGACAGCCTATGCAAAGGCTGGGGAGATGGAACATTGTGTGTTGAAGAACAGCAAGGGAACCAACATTTCGGCTGGCTTGTGGAGCGTGCGAAGGGAGCCCTATTCAATAAGCCTGGCGAGATCATTTGGAGCCAAGTCATGAGGGACCATCCTGACTCTAGGCCTGTTTGTGGGATGTGAAACCCCCTTATTCTATACATAGACCCAGAAACGATGAGATCATAGGACTATGTGAAAGGGCAACATCCCAATAACTCATGTTTCTTCGAGTGCTTGGGAGTCACAGCACCTTGGCATGATGCAGCTGATCACAATAACAGAGCCAAACAGTGCCAATCAGGCTGAATGATAGCATAACGGAGCAGTCAGCCACCACCTTACTGAGCTAGGGCCTCCCAACCTGGCCTGCATCATTAACGAGCAGGGACAAGTCCCCTGGGACTGAGCTAGGTTTGGAAGGAGACCTGGGAGAGGGGAAACTCCAGCTCAAAGTGAGGGAACAGCCCGCGTGTTTCCACAGCTCCAGCCCAACAACAGCAAAGAACTTTTCTCTGCTTTGGCTAAGCAGAAGAAAAAGTAGCCTGCCTGCCATGGTAGTCTTTGGGATAGTGAGGGGTTTGGGTGGGGAAGGAATTTCTGGTCCAAAAAGCACTGACTGGAGGTTGGAAGGCTGCCCATCCCAAGCAAGGTGTAGGGCTTCAGATGGGAAGTTTTTAATGGAAAAGGTGCTTTTCACTAAAGCCATTAGAATAAAGCCCAACTCTTTTAGCCTGGCATTCAATGCTTCTGTAAACTGCCCTCAACCTACCTTTCCAACCTTTATCTTCCACCACTCACCTACGTGAACTATCTGTTCTAGACAGGGTGGTTTCCTCTGTCACCCCACACTCACTGCCACACTTTTGAACCTTTGATCAGAATGTCTGTCTCACCCAGGAGAGAGCAAGTATGGTGGAGTTCAGCTGGACTGGGATTTGTCCATTATCATGGACAAGCCACCAAGTCTCAGTTTCCTTATCTATAAAATGGGGATAACAGTACCTGTAGAACTTACCTTGGAGGATTTTCGTAAGAAACAAATGGGGCAATGTTTGTAAATTCATTGTGAACCTTAAAGGGCTTTATAAATGCTAGTTGTCACCACACACTCCTCTCTTATTCTCTAATTCTTTTCTACGTGTGTCTTGTCTTCCCGACCCGATTGTGAGCTCCACTATGGCAGGGCACATCTCCCTTTGTCCATCATTCCCCTATGCCCACCAGCCCTCCCTGCTCATCCTTAATCTGGCCCCACTGGGATTGCTAAGTAAAGGCCTGCAGAGCTGAAAAGAGAAGTTAAATGCAGGAAGACGAAGAAATTCTGCAGATGGAGTGGGGTAGGGATGGTTCAGAAGAGGGCAGCAGAAAGGACACTGGGTTTGCAGTTAGAGGGATTTGGATTCCAATTTCTTTCTGACACAACTTGTATAACCTTAGGCATGACACTTAATCTCTTCAGATCTTGGGTTTCTTCATCTGTAAAATGGGGTGGTTGGATCAGATGACCTCAAAAGCTCCTTTCAGCTGTAAATGTATGATTCCATGTCTTAGGTAATGTTAGAGGTGGAAGGGCTCTCAAATCATCTCATCTAATCCCTTTCACTGGATGGGACTTAGCCAAGGTCTCACAGTAACTTAGAAGAAGAGCCTGGACTACCTTAACTGAGGTCTCCTGACTACCAGTACTGAGCTGATGTCAGACTACCTTTCAAGGCAAATGCCTTTCTTAATCTGCCCCAGGCCTTGCTTTTCCTAGGATAGTGCTGGTTTGCTCTCTCCCATGATCGAAAGCTAAGGGACTCATGGAGCCCAAACATTTAGCTCTTATTAAGGCAAAGGACAGGTCTTAGCTGTCTCTCGGGGGATACTCACCTTGACTCTGCTCTACTCAGACCAGGTGATTCCCCTCAGGGCTGAACTTTCCTTCACCTCTACTTTGCAGATGAGGGAACTCAGGCAATGGGGGTAAAAGAGGCAAAGATGCAAGTTTAGCCTTGATGTGAATTTCCTAACAATTAAAGCTGTCCGAAAGTGGAAGTGCTTGCCTTGGGAGGCAGTGGGCTCTCCCTCACTTCAAGCAGAAGCTGAACGACCCCTGTGCAGGTATGCTGCAGTACGGATACTTCTTTTGGGACATGGTTTGGACTAGGTGACCACTGAAGGCACAGCTGGTAACAATAGCTATAGCATGAGGGGCTTCGAAGCCCCTAAACATCTTCTCTTTTCCCAGCCTCTTGCTGATGACTCAAATTCCTCTATAAAAGTGCTACTGCTTTGTGTTAGGGTATTTGACAGAAGGGCACCCCATAAAATGAAAAACGCCTAGGGGAGGGATAAAAAAAGCCAGCCTGAATTAGTCTACACTCCTGCCTCAGTTCCTCTGCATGTAAAATGGGCGTAACGATTCTACTCTCTTCTTTTAGGGCTGTGGCTAGTATTAAAAGGCTGTGCTTCACAGAAGGTGGAAAGTGCTGAGGTCAGCTGTCCTGTTCTCAGCCTTCCCAACCTAGGCCACAAATAACTTCTCCTAATGGCTCCCTCTTTCCAGCTTCAATGTGGTCCCTGGAAAGTTTGCCCTATTAAAGCAGTGTCCTATGGGACGCTGCCCTTCCCCCAAACTCCCTCCTCAACCCCCACCCCCTTCCCCCGCCTGCTTTTCCCAGAGAACTGGGAGGGTGGTCTGCTTTAGCGCCAGTATCATCTAGCTCCCCCTATGTACGTGGCTTTCGGACTCAACAAGTCAGAGGCAAGCTCTGTGAAAGAACACTCCGTCCCCAACAGCTCTGAGACGAGCCCTCCCCTCCCCTTCTCCCCCACCTCCTCCTCTGCCCATGTGACCCAGCTTGATACGGGTCCAGACCACAATCACAACAACTGCTGGAGCTGCTGGCCAAGGGGCCAGATGCTGGAAAAGGGCTCTGCAGCTCTCAGCTTATGGGGCTGAGCTGTGGGATGGGGAAGGGGGTGGGGGCAACCAGGCTTCTGGAGACCCAGAGCTCCCTCCCTCACTGGCTGGCTGACTGTTGCTGCATTTCAGGCTTATTAATAATAAAGACAATGATGGTAATTAGCAAGAGTGCGAGCCAAGTCTGACTCCCAGACTCAAAGAATTCTGGAGCAGGATGGGAGGGACTAGGGTATAAGTCGGGCCAGCAGTATCTGAAGGACAATATAACCAAATCCCAAAGACTGACTGGGCGGGTTGTTTTCTGTCAGGGGCACTGGGGCTGGGGCTCACTGGGCTATAAACAACTCAAGCTGTCAGAGCCCAAAGAACATGGCAGCCAGAAGCCAAAACATTGATGCTTAACCTTTGATTCTCTCCCAAGCCTCAGGCAAACTGGTCCCGGTGCCAGGACAACTGATCCTCCAGTTTGCCAGCCCAGATGTGCCCACTGGCCCACTGTTCTGAACTGCTCTGAGTGTGCCATCTGAATCCAGATGGGAGGAGACAGACTGAGGAAGGGAAAGTGGAGACAGTTTTGTACCCCTCCTCCCCAAATCTTCTTGGAATTCAGCACTGAGCTCTGCCTCTGGCCAAGCAGAGGACCACCTGAGACTGGTTTCTAGCAGTTCCCAGCCAGCAGTCGCACCCTGGACACTCCCTAGGGGGCAGTTTTGCACAGTCCAACAGTTATGGGCTTACTCACAAACAATGCTCTTGAGGGAATCTGTGGGGGGGGGGGGGGATAGCAGGGAGCTGGTAGCTTCCCTTGTTTTACAGAAGGCATTGCAAATTTCTACCAACCCATCCTGCATGCCCTTCGAGGCTCTGCTTAGATTGTGCCTCCTCTATGAAGCCTTCCCCAAAAACTCAAACCAACACTGCTTGCTCCCCTTTCTGCCTGCCCAAAGCTCTTACTGTCTATCCCAGAGACCTGATCACTTTTTTATATTCAAATTAGCACTAACATAATACTATGTAGCTATTTTGTGTTTCATCTTCCTAGGAAGACTGTGAGCCACTTGAGAGCATGGCATGAGTGCTTCTCTTCTGTCCTCCCTAAATTGGGAGCTCCCTGTGATCAAGGACTAACTTTACTTCTTCCCATTCTCTCCAAAGAAGAGTCAAGCATAGGCCTGAGCACAGAGAAGTCATTCAATAAATGTCTTTATAATAAAGAAACTTTCCTTCCAATCTGAGAACCCTGTTACCCAGTCTTGCCTATCTCCCACCTCCCCATCCCTTGGTCTATTTGTACATTTGCAACTGACTGAAATATTGTGATCTCCCAAGAGTTAAGGGCAATTGGTACCATCCAGACCAAGTCTCAAGACTGGAATGAGGGGAGAATGTGGGTGGGAGGAGGTTGTCTGCCTACTGCTGCTTTGTGTAAGGGTTGCAAAAGCCTGGGAAAGGGCAACCCAGCTATCTCCAGTCCCAGGAAGGGGATCCTACCTCGATAAAGATCCTTTTCAATAAGTCTCATCTGAAGGTGGAATATTTGTTCCTGAAGTTTGCAGATGGAGTGTTTCATTTTCTCTCGCCTTGTCACCATGTAGCACAGATTTCTAACCTGAGGAGACACAAGAAAGATTTCCCACCTTACAGAGTGACTATGAGAACTACCCTTTCTGTTCCCTGGGGGTCACTGAGAAATAGGAAGGCAGCAAACACTGCCTGAGGGCCACCCTGGACACCCACAGCCCTTCTCTTCCTCCTGGCCTCCAGCTATCTACCCCATGCTCATGGGCATGATAACAAAAGCCAGTGTGGGGTTAGATGGCTGGGGTTGTATTTCAGCTCTGCCACTTTTTACCCGAGTGACTCTGGCCATGACATTTAACTTCTCTGAGCTCAGTTTCCCCATCTGGAAAATAAACGGTTAAGACTAAATGCCATCTATGATCTCTTGTACCTCCAAACCTGCAATCCAATGAATAAGTTAATTCCCAGCCAAGAAACTAGTTGTTTGGGATTCTGGCTCTGATCTGCTTGAGCTGTGGAATGATGGGTGACTTTCTGAGTCTCAGTCTCTTCATCTGCAAAACGGGGAGCTGGGAAGGAGGAGTGTGTATTGCACCCTACCTTACGGGTTGTGACGAAAAAACTTTACAGATCTTTAAGTGACACAGAAATGTTAACTGTGATTATTGTCTAATAATCGTTATAACTATAGTGTTGGAGAAGTATACTGGATACAGAACCCAGGTTAGCTGGTAAGACCCAGGTTCAAGTTCAGCCTCTCACAGACAGACTGTGTGACCCTGGGTTTATCATTCAGTCTGGTACTGTCCCAGGTTATACCATAAGTTGCAGATCTGCTTTGGTAGTGGGGATTTCCTCATCAGAATTCCCTATACCAATGAAATCAAAGGTCCAATGCTCTCCACTTCAAAAAAAAAATAAGAAAGATGGGCTGAGCCATCAGTGCTGATTCTTCAGTTTCTAGGACTCTGTAAGTAGCCTCTTCTGTCCCTCACCTCATTCCTTTAGCTCTGGAATGGGGCTAAGGCACACGACTTAGATAAGAAGCATCCTCTGAGGTGATGATTGACGTGCTTCTGCTCTGAGGCCAAACCGCCAAGTTCTGAGAGTAAGTACTATCATCTGAACACCCCAAATCTCTCCTCTTCTATCCATGGTGAGACGCAGGAGGAAGCAAACTCCCCCCCCTCCAAGTCTCAGCTATTGGCTTTCCTGCAACACTAGCCCCTTCCCCACCGTTAAGAACTCAATCCAACACCAGTGGCTATGAAGAACTAACCTCATTTTAGCCTGTTCCCAATCAGGGGTAAGCTGTTAATTCACCAATTCATCAGCTCCCTGTCTGTCCAGCATATGGCCCCTTCCACAGTGTCCTTATTCTGGAATCACCTCCAGAGGTAACCCTCTCTACATCTCTGCCTTATTCCCAGACAGTAGGAACTGCTTTCCTTTACTTGTCTGGACCCTCAGGGCCTCTCCTTACCCCAGTTCAGAAGTGTCTTATTTTGTTCTTTCTCAACCCACACTATTCATGTGCTGCAGTAGGCTCCTGTCTGGTGCTCCTCAGGCACTACTGCACCAGACTGGGTTTTACTTCTGTTCCTTCCTTAACTTGAGGGTCAGGGACAAAGGACAGGGCACTGGCCACCAGGGCTTCTGTTTGTGCCCATGCCCAGATGTGTTTATGTGCCCCACAACAAGTACTTTAAAGAGCTTCCATCAAGAGTTCTCATGATTCCAGTTTGGGTCTGAACTTGAATGAAGAAACAAATGCCCTATGGCAAGAGGCTGTCTTCCTCCTACCTCCCTACCTTCATCCTTCACACTTGAAAACCTTAACTGGCTCCTAAATTTGGGGACTTGTTCTGAGATCCCAAGGTATTTGTAAAGCCCTGCTCTAAGGTTCCTGATCTAAGCTGTAACATTCAAATGTTTCTATTCATATTGATGCCTGAAGGTCAGGATCAGGCTCTGGCAGAAAAAGGCAAGGGGGATTGGGGAGGTCAAACACAAAATGCTGATATCTACTATTTGAACCCTGCTCAGGAGGGCCAGGGTTTGGGGTTAGAGCCCACAGACTTCTAACATGTCCTGCTGCCCCCACAGTCACATTTGCAAACAGGGACTAGAAATTCCCTTGACTGGAGGCCCTCCAGAGATGCTTTAAGTGCCAACCACAACTGCTGAGCTGAGTTAAGTCTGCAGGAATGGGAGAAGTCTCTATCCAGGGCCTCCATTCACAAAATCCTGGATTCTCAGAGCTCGAAGGGGCCATCGTCTTCCTGAAGCCACAAAATCCATACTCCTGCACAGTGTAGAAACTCCCTCTCCATCAACTCTGACAGGTGGCATACAGCCTCACCTGGAACACCTCTAATGCCTCACAAGGCAGCCCACTGCATTTCTGGGCAGCTCTGATTGTTATAAAGTTCTTTCTTCTACTGAGCTGAAACCAGCTGCTCAGCAACTTTTAACCATTGGCCTCAGCGCTGTCTGCTGAAGCCAAGCAGAACTCGCCTCTTCCCTCTTCCACATGATAGCTCTTAAGGGAAATGTGGCAAACTCAGTGGTGGAGCCTGGCCCAGAAGTCTATTCCCACAGTGCTCAGCCTGGGTCTCTAACCACTGGTCCACCCTGGCACCTGGCTATGATGGAGGGAGCACACTGAATAAAGAATCACAACCTTTGTCATTCTGCCTGGTTCTTGTGGTACTGCCTGGCCTCTAGCCTAGGCAGTTCCCTCAAGACAAGATTCCTGAATAGCAGCTCCTACTCAGCTATAGGAGAGACTTGTAGGCCAAGCAGAATGTCCTCATTAGGATGGTGATACTGATCAGAGTTGTCTTGAGTTCTTCTGAGACTCAAATCATAAGCTTCGCTGTAAAGGGTAGTGAGTCCAGTCCCAGGAAGTGACCTGCCTGCTCTGCTGGGAAGACAGGTTACCTAAACTACCACATCTTGGGCAGGTCAACACCACTGCAGAGATCAAGCAAATACTTCGGCTTCCACAGGCCCAAGATGCAGGAGGGAGAAACCATGACCCAGGGTCCAATCCCTTTCAATCCAATCCAATCCAATCCAATCCAATCCAATGAGTCCCATCGCCACCTTACGGTAAACTCTTGTCATCTTTGTTTCACCAGGACTGGGTCAGAAACATCAGTGCAGAATCCCAAGCTCTTTGGTTGATTTATGTCCACCAACAAAGTCTGAGCTGAATCTTCTATCTGTCCAACTTTGACTCGCACCCCATCTACTTCAGCATACACCCTCTGTTCCAGTTAAGCCAGTCTTGTAACTTCCCTCTAATGTTTACCAGGTTTATAGGATCATAAATTTAGAGCTGGAAGGAACCTTAGAGGTTGAGTCTAGCCCTTGATTTTACAGATGAAGAAACTCAGGTCCAGAGACGCTGACTTGTTGAAGTCATAGAACTGTTAAGTATGCCCAGACTGGATTTGCCAAGGGTCACACAGCTAGTGAGCATTTGTGGCAGGTCTGCTACATACACTATGCCACACCGTGTCTTTACTCCTGTTGGCGCTCAACCTGGAAAGTGTCTTTCTCCCATCAGCCTATCCAAACCTTTGTCCCGATCCTTCAGTATCCAGCTGGTGTCCTCTGACTGCTCTTCTCTGCAATGATCTCACCTTGTTCTGAACTCCTAGGGCACTTAGCACCATATATGCCCTTAGCCTGGTGCCTAGCACACAATGCTTGGTATCATTCTTGGTCTCCTCTGTGGGATCTTATCTCTCTAAGCAAACTGTGAGATTTCTAAAAAACAAACACCTGCTCATAGGATCACCAAATCTCCCGCCTATGCTGTCTCTGTCAAGGTGCATCACAGAGCTGGGGACATAGTCCCTGGTAAATACTCAGTAAACCTATGTTTGATTGACTGGTGATTAAGGGAAGCCCTTGGCTAAAACCTCTGGTTTACTTTCCTTCTTGTCTAGCAATGAGATTTTACTTCTTAGGCTAAGACAGCATGAAAATGCTAAGCTGAAAATGGTTGGAGGAAGAAAGGAGGCAGACAGCTGGATACAGAAGGCCACAGGGGTGGGCTGCTGACTATAGCTATGTCTCCACCCCTGCATACACTTTTACAGTTTGTAAATCTTTTATTAATGTCTTTCCTCATTACTAAAGCTTTGGCACTTACAGTGTAAAAAATAATAACTAGCCATTATTACAGTAAATTCCTCTTGTCAAATGATGACTTCAACACAATTTCTGTTTTCCATACTAAAAATAAAACAAAACAAAACAAAACCCTGGGAGGTGAGGAGGGAATTGATAAATAACAGGTAAGAGAGTTACTGCTAGGAAATTATTTAAAGAGTGTGGATCATTCTGGGAGTGGTCAGGCCCCTGGGTGAGTAAAAAAGAGCAGACTGGAGTACATGAAGCATATGAGGAATGGATCCCTAAGTGAAGATCTTTTGATGCTGATTTTATGTTCAGAGTGCTGGGGAAAGCATGACCAAGTTTAAGTCCTGCAAGCTGATTCTATCTTGGATGGGTGGAGAGGGAGTTCTAGGCAGGGGTAGGTGACTCCTGTCTGGGGAGTGGGCCAAAGAGCTTGTACACCCAGGGTCCCATGGCCAGGCAGCAAGGTCAGCTTTCTGGGAGCTGGGACGACCAAGCCCTGGCAGATAGGAGATGCATGATTGGCATAGTTCTGAGTCCTAGTAGTTTCCACACAAGAAAATGGAGAACTCAGGGAGAAAGAAGCCAACAGTCCTGGATACTGGATGTTAGTATGATTAGTGGGAAAAGTGTGTGTGTGTATGTATACAGATCACAGTCAAGTAGAACCTCTAGACCCTTCCCAAGCTCCAGGGACGGAACGATGTGCAAACTTTCTCCAAAGCTGCTCCCGGATCTTCCTAGCTCCCCCATAAACCATCTGTTGCCGAGTTCTTGGAATAACACTCCAGCTGCCCCTTAGTCCTAGGAAGTCACTGATTAAACGGAGCTCTGTGGGGCAGAGCATGTACGCACACAGACACAGACACAGACACACAGACACACATAGAATCCCTGATAAAAGTTCTTGCCTGGAAAGACGACACAGTTGCTCAG